TTGTTCTACGGCGGCGTCCAGTGCCCCTTGCTCTTTGCGTACGGCCTTCTCGAAGCCATGCCCGAAAAGAAAGTCCAGCTTCCCGAAGTCCCACTATACGGCCCCTATCAAACTCACTAAGTTGACGAAATCGTACAGGTCTCCGTACTCTAGGCATCGTAACCGATCGTAAAGGATGTCAAGAACCAAAATCCGCCAACGTTGAGTCTTTACTGCGGCTGAAATATTCATTTTTAAAGCGTCAGTGAATTAAAAAAAAGCAGTATAAAAACCGGAATGTCCAACTGATAAGGCTGAAAATTTTTTCACTTGTTATTTACAGTAAGATAAATACACACACACACCAACTTTTATTAAAATAAAACCATTTAAACTGGGTGTTCGGATTTATATGTCACTTAGTATAGTTACATATGTGCATTCATTTCGGGCCTGAGGAATTCAACAAGCAGAAATACGTATTGGAAGGGTTAACTATCCTTTGGCCTTTATTTTTTCTCATTTTTTATACACCTTTCTACGCACGATCCATTCTTTTTTTTTTAGTAAGGGTTATTGTACATAGATAAAACACGTTTCATTCCATCTTAACGCTATATCAAGAAAAACAAAGATAAGTGTAGGTAAATAGTATTGATTTTATTGATTATGTGCAGAGATATAGAGAGAACCTTCTTAGAACACTTAAATTTGACGACATAAACAAAAATTGTTTATCAAAGGATAGCTCCATTGCAGGGTGAAATCAGAGGTTAGATATTTTAATTAAAAGTTTAGCTAATCTCTCTCTATAGTCAAATACCAGAATTGATGACAGTAGCAGAAGTCATCGTGCGCCACTGCTTTGAAGCTGTACCTTTTGATTACAGCGACGCTTACCGACATTTCACAAAGAAGCGCCGCATTTTCGAAGGCTTCCGCGTAATAGCAGTGGCGTACGATGAGTTTCGCTACTGTCATCAATTTTGGTATTCTACTATAGGAGAATCTAAACCAACATGCAAAATAATACGGTACTTTCAACCCAAGAGAGCACTGAGGCGATATTTAGGCTCCAAGAATGAAAACTGAGTAGAAAAATATTTGTTAGTTAGTTATATACTTTCTGGATAGTAGCATTCACCCACTAGTTCTACCCCTTCAAACTTAATTTTTTGCAACAAAAGGTAGCCTTTGTCTGTCTCTAAGGTCTAGTCTAGTCTATATTTATGCTACAATTCATCAAAATCAGCCCTTTTGCTGGGAAAATGGAACATACATGCATACTTACATACGAGGGGTAGTAGAAGAGAAATCTGCTTAGTTATGAAACAAAAGACGCGCTATTTTTTTTTGATAATTTTAGTTTTCAATATAATCAAATGGCGTTCTTTGGAAATCCAAAGAGATAAAAGTGAAACGGAGCCAAGTACGGAATATACAGGGTGACTTTGAAGTTGAGTCATTAATTTTCAGATAATGATTGTAGAAGGAAGATAAACCAAAATATGTGTGTAAAAATAAAAAAAATAAAAAAAAAAATGTTACCTTGTTTTATAAAGTATCCTCCCGACAAGTATTTCAGTGCGGACCTGTATTTGATCGTGCGGTCTTGGAGCACCGGCATGCTCTCCCCTGTGAGGTCTTAAGTCACCTGATTCCCGAGCCCTTTGTACTACATCAACAAAGGCACGAGGGGTTGGTTGCACTCGATTGGGAAACCGATCCGCATAAATCCGTGATGCCGCGTAAATAAGAATCATGTCCACAAGTTCAGCATTTTCGTAAACATGTGCCATTTTTTATTTCGTTTGAGCCACGCAACAGACACCACTATTCACTCACGCGTTACCGACTGACACTGACTGTATATGTATACAACTGAATAAAATAATTGTAAAAACATCGTTCCAAATTCTTTCTCTTTTTTGTTTCCGATGCGATGAACCGATAAGGCGGATTATATCCGTTGTTGCCAAACACGAGCACATAATATTATTATTGAGACAGGGCGGTACTCAAACTTCCAAAGGGCTATAACTTTGTTACTTTAATTTTACCAGAAAAATGGTAAAGGAAAAAAACATTTCTTTTGATCAGATCTACTCACTGTTAAAATAAATGACTCAACTTCGAAGTCACCCTGTATAGTAAGAATGAGCTATCACAACAAAGCTGCATTCCAGCTCAATTAATTGGTCGAATTTTGGCAGTCTTATGCATGGTCACACTGTCATGAAACACTGAAAAAATGCCCCTAAAAAACGGTTGCCATCAATTTTCCAATAGAGGGTTGGGTCCTTTTTGGGGAAGGGATCCTTTAGAACCCACAACTTAGATTCTGTTTTTGTCTTGGAATCCCAAAAATCCAACCAAGTCTTGTCGCTCATCACAATTTGTGCCAAAAAGTTGGTGAAAGTTTCCAAATGACTTTCTGAAATTTCCAACTGTATTCAATGCCTTTTGAGCCATTTTATCATTTGCTGCTGTTTTGGGTCTCACACTTCTGGGATCGTCTTCTATCGCTTCACGCCCCCATCAAAACAAAATTTTATTGTGTAATATGATGGTACATCGTCCCCATAGACGACAGCCATTTTCTCAAGAATTGTTTTCGGCTGATGACCCTCTTTTGACAGAAACTTTATGACACTGGGATACTCTAATTTTAAGTTACTCGTTTTTCCTCACAATTCACTTTATAAATTAAAAACTGACTATCAAACTTGACTCAAATTTTGCAAGAAAGGTTAGAACACATACATACTTGTGCGTTTGAACTGTTTTTGTCATGGCTAGGTAGATTTCTTTTTTAGCGTCCCTTTGTCCCTTATACACACAAAGATGCACAATTTCACATTTATAATAATACAAACTAGGGGTAGTAAGGATATGTTAGTAAGGATGCTACAGGGATTATTAAGAACTGCTACTCTGCTTAGCACATCGAATTGGGATCGGACAATAAATCACATCGGTGCGCGACTATTATTAGAAAACTAAAAGCTAACCCAGTTTTTTTTATTTAATTATTTCAAATCCACGCCCAGTGGCAGCATTCATTACCTATTTCCGATATGAATTATTGATATGAGTAGTTTTGTCATGTGTATGCAAATCAAGAGCTCTGGTTGGGTTAGTCACCGGAAAAATGCAGAATTCTGAGATTCCCAGAGGTTTTGCGGTAGGGTAAGTGACAGATAACGATCCACTTGTCTGATTCCAGGAGTATTAACCGTTTTATGACTTTTTCAATGTAATTGGTGAGTATGTACATAGCAAGACGGGAATTTCCTTGATAAAACGATATGCTTTGTTTATTGCCATTAATATTACGCACCAGTAAAGCTGGAAGAAGTGATGAGCGTAACAAATATATTCCAAGAGGGTAACATATGAGAATTTTTTATCAAAATTTCGAAACATATGATATCACTGTTTCTGTGAAGTCATTGCGTCTATTTCGGCTAATGCTAAGAATCAATTAAATTACATAATGTGGCAAGGTTTCGGGTGCCACCACAGTCAACAGAATATTATTTGAAATATTGTAGGACGGACCAGTATTTTGTGATCGACTTAAGAACATAGGAGAAAAAGATAAAAGTGTGTATATTTTAAAAGTGCTTTGTAAAATATTATGAAAAAACGAATTTTCGGGAACCTTGCTTGCTACCGACTTGAAAAATGCGAACAAAATCGGACGTCAAGTAAAAACCGTCAACTAACATTTTATTCTAAAGCATTCTTCATATGTGCGATGTTTTTGTCAATTTAGGATCAATCTCTCCGATTCAAAACGGATCAAGTCAGCGGATAGACAAATAGTTATATCATTCCATCCACCATCGACGTTCACTGATACCAACTCAAAGTTGTCTCGAATGGCAAATTATTAAGGTGTTACCAAATCTAAATAAATTTAAAATCACTTTAAACAAACTAGGATATTTTCAAATACCACATAGTCTGCACCAGCAGGCGGCTCCACTTCCTATATTGTAGCATTTTTCTGGGTCCTTTTGAGTGTGGATCAAAACACTAGATTCAACGAAAAGAAATGCACTAATTTATTTAACTTCGTAGAACATTTATGTACAACACTATTCATGTCTGACTAATTCTTATGTCGCCGTTGACTGCACTATACTCCACTCCGCTCTGCTACTCTACCGTATTCAGTACCCTGCTTCCATCTCCCGGCCGCCGAGTTATACATAGTCCCCATTGCTGCTTCGAGAAGGGTCTGGTGAACCAGAAAGCGGCATCTAGAATATTGGAGGTCACTTCGCGTCGATATAGAAGGCGATCCACTGTTCACGGTCCTCACAGACGCCGCCAAGCGGCTTGTGCGGTCGTGGTTCGCGTAAAAGCAGAGATCGGTCATAAACACAATATAAAAAGTCACATGAAACTTATGTTAAGCACATGTTTGGTATAAATGCCCTTGATTGACCTAAATATGGATGCATAAATAAATTTCCAAGATTTTTCCCATTCCGTCACGTTAGGAATACTTTCCTATATAGAGCCTTTTTATGGGTCTCTAAATGCTTTATGCTCGAGTATTTCACTTGATCATCACAATTGATACACTTCACAGCTACTATACCAGCAACGGCAACAATCGAATATGAAGCTCTTCGCGAAAATCACAAATAAAACTGAGGAATTTGAAGCGCGTCACCGGCACTGCGCCTATAGTATACTCCCGATCATTCAAGAATGAAAGGCCGACTTTTGCCAAGTCCGCGTTTCAGATAAACAGTTTAACTGTTTTTATTAGAATGTTTCATTGTTTCAAAATATACTTTTTCTCCTATTTAACAAAAGAGGTTTCCTATTTTCAAGCAAATTAGATTAATGATACTTTCAATTACACTGGTTCCAGAAAATCAGTTTAATTAAACCGAATAATTCATTTACATAGAATAATTAATAAAATCAGTACGGGTAATGAAAATTTTCCTGAACTACTATTTAATTAACGTTTTCTCGGTGCGTGCTACGCCGCTGTGTTTCTTTGATAATCCTACACCCGCTTCCAATGGTATCACCACTCATAATTGGCGATGTATAAATACATGCAGTTACTCACAAAAGCTCTCAAAAGCTTGTACTTCCTCGTGAACTAACCTACCGCTAACAACATGAAGTGCGTCACCGTATTCCTTGCAATAGTGCTCCTTTCGTCAGCTGCTAACGCCAAAGTATTCAAGAGGTGCGAATTGGTGAAGCTGTTAAGGGACACTTATCACATGCCTCATTTGGCTACATGGGTAAGCATAAAATATTTTGAAACAGGCAGCCCAGGCTACACAGAAGAATATAGATACCTATTTCGTGGAAAAAATTTTAGCACGTATCTGAAAGTTTTAAATGACAAATACATCAAAAAATACAGGCATATATGCGTTGTTTTTTATAAACAATGGGAAAACCTCAAAATTTAGTATTTTGCTTGTCTAATTTTCAAATTAAATTTTATAAATAACCGGTAAACTGGAAATTTTAGAAATAAATCGATAAACAATAAACGTTCAAAGACTACTTAAAGGCCTTTGACAGTATTAACCATGAATAATAATAAATAATAATAATAGTATGTATTCACTCAATGTACAAGGAGAACAAACAACATGAGTAAATAAATATAAAATCAAAACAGGCCCAATAGAAGGCATTGCCTGTACATCGACCAATAATTTTAAGTTGCAACTGTAGAATGCAAATGACAAAAAAGGACAAAAATTAGTCACAATAGATTATGTATTTATTTGATTTTTGAGTTTATGAATTTCAGTCCTAGATATAGAATGTAACCACTTTTTAAATTTCTTTTGAAACAACTTCCGAAATGTAAACCTCTTAAGTCTTTAGGTATAATTTCATTGGTATATATATACTAAGTGACATATAAATCCGAACACCCAGTTTAAATGGTTTTATTTTAATAAAATTTTGTATAAGTACTGAAGCATAATAAGTAAATGATAAAAATTTCAAAATCATTGCACTGCTTTAAAGCCCTTTGACCTTTAATAATGTGTGGATGCACCCTGATGTGCTACGCATTCTCCAACGCGCCTAGGCATGCTTCTGATCAGGTGGTCAATGTCCTCCTGTGGTATCTCATTCCAGGCAACCACCAACTCCTCTCGAAGTGCTTCTAGAGTCTGAGGAGGACGTTGCAAATTGAGCAATCTCCTACCCATCATATCCCACACGTGCTCAATTGGGGATAAGTCGGGAGATCTTGGTGGCCATGGTAACAATGTGACATCATTATGTTGAAAGAAGTCTATTGTGACTCTTGCAACATGTGGTCGGGCATTATCTTGTTGGAAAGTTGGATCTGCCAGGGTGTCAAGATAGGGTAAAAGATGGGGTTCTAGAACTTCGTGGATATAACGCTGTGCGTTCATGTTACCTCTGATGAAGATTAAAGGTGACCTGGAACCATAAGCTATAGCACCCCAAACCATAACTCCAACAGTGTGATGAACATGTCTTTCAACAAAAAACTGTGGATTCCTCCTTTCACCACGTCGCCTTCTAACCCTGGCACGACTATCGTGCATGCCTAAACAAAATCGAGACTCGTCACTAAAGACAATACTGTTCCATTCCTGGTCCCAGAGTGACCGTTGTCTGCACCACTCAAGGCGATTACGTCGGTGTTCTCGAGTTAAAGGGAGGACCCAGTGTGGCCGGTATGAAAACAAGCCAAAACTTCTCATTCGTCGGTAAACACTTCGCATGCCAATAGGTCTTCCGTGTTCTGCAAACCATTCATTTGCAATGGACCTGGTAGTGGAGAAACGGTCCCTTAAGGCCAATAATCTTAGGCGGCGATCTTCACGGTCTGTTGTTCTACGGCGGCGTCCAGTGCCCCTTGCTCTTTGCGTACGGCCTTCTCGAAGCCATGCCTGACAACACCTAACCACAGTGTCTACACTTCTTTGCACTCTAACTGCAATTGCCCGAAAAGAAAGTCCAGCTTCCCGAAGTCCCACTATACGGCCCCTATCAAACTCACTAAGTTGACGAAATCGTACAGGTCTCCGTACTCTAGGCATCGTAACCGATCGTAAAGGATGTCAAGAATCAAAATCCGCCAACGTTGATTTTTTACTGCGGCTAAAATATTCATTTTTAGAGCGTTAGTGAATTAAAAAAAAGCAGTATAAAAACCGGAATATCCAACTGATAAGGCTGAAAATGTTTTCACTTGTTATTTACAGTAAGATAAATACATTCACCAACTTTTATTAAAATAAAACCATTTAAACTGGGTGTTCGGATTTATATGTCACTTAGTATATTTTAGACGTAGTTTTTAAACATAGTTTATCATTTTAGGTTTGCATAGCACAAAAGGAGTCCAACTACAACACCGCTGCAGTGAATAAGCAATCGGGTGACCATGGTATCTTCCAGATATCAGAGAAATATTGGTGTAACCAGGGTAACAGAGGATGTGGACACAAGTGCTCTGATTTCGAGAACGACAACATCTCCGACGATGTAAAATGCGTTCTGAAAATTTACAAGGAGACGGCCAAGTTTCAAGGTATGTTCTCTTACCTATGATTTTTTTCCTAGTCGTTCACCAAGCTATGTTAGTACTTCTTTCATTTTCTTGCCCCTAGTAGAACCAGTTATTTGGTTGACATACCCCTGAAATTCAAGTTAATCTCGTATTGATACTTGAAAGCCCTGCATTGCATTCCCATCACTACATGATGTTCTGTACTTAAAATGGACATAGTGAAATGGAAGGCAGCATGGACAGAGACATTTTTCATACAGGGTGACCCAACGAAAAGGTCGCACCCCTGGTATGTTTTGGGACCAACGGTCGGACACGTCAATTTTGATCTCTAGGGGGGAGTCTCTTCATCGCCGTACAATACAGGGTGATCCATTTAGATTGAAACAGTTAACAAAAAAAATCGCTATTGACAACCAAAATGACTCGAGCGAGTTCAAACTTGTACTGAAGACGGATCACATGATCGCCACGTAACTTTACTTAATTTACAGACCTCGTAACACCCCTCATTTTTGCACCAGGGGTTAAATCGGGTTGGCGAACGGTAAAACTGTGCAGTGTCAGTACTTTTGTGCTCCTAATAGCGAAAAATATGATTAACCAGTACGTGTGTGAATAATTTTTTGATTTGTTTCAGGTGATGGATTTAACGCTTGGACCACATACTCGCAATGTAAAGGCAACGTACAAAAATACGTGCAAGGCTGTTAGTGATTTAAGAAAATTAAGAACTGTTAACACCTCTCAAAGTATTACTATTTAGGAATAATAAAGTTTTTTAATTGACATATTGCTGTAATTTATTTTTGGGGAATTTATTATAAAAAAAAACCTTTGAAAACTATTTAGCTGAGATGGTTCCCATCAGACTTTATTTTTTATATGGTCCAAAAAAAGTTAATCCTGTATCTTTTTCTACGAATTCAACGATCAATTGTGTTTTATTTTATTTAAGTAGGCGTTGCAAGCAAATGCTTGATGTAAGATTATGTGATTACTGATATGTGAATATTACTTAATGATATGATGGGGTAAAATTTTATAAAATGATCCTTAATCCAGACGCACTTACTGGCAGCTTAGTTTTTTTTTGGAAAAACGCTCAGACCCGTCGATTTTGTTTTCGAGAAAGGCACAAGTTTGGCAAAAAATCACGTTCAGCCCGCTTGGCGGGGGTGACACCAACCCTAAAATCTTAAATGGAAATGGAGGTCGAGTGATACCTTATTTTAAAGGTCTTTCAATTATAATGATGTAGCATAATCTTCAGTTCAGTAGTACCCGAAAATTGGACACTGTGTGTGGTGTTAGCCGACGTACTGTCCAACGGATTCTAGAGGCCCATAGTTTTCATCCGTATAAAATTCACCTGGTACAAGAACTTTATGAGTGAACGAATTATAAACGATGAACATTTTCTATTCAACCCTTTGTTTTTCCGACGAATGTTCCTTTTTCGTAAATGGCGTAGTAAATCGTCATAACTGCTGATATTGGTCCGATTCTAATCCCAGAATTTATCATGAGGTTCATACACAGCAGCCACAAAAATTAAATGTTTGGGCTGGTATTTTGGCGATCATTTAGTTGGTCCTTTTTTTACCTGGAAATTTGACCGGTGAAATGTATTTGGAATTACTGGAAGACGCCATAGATCCTGCATTAAAAGCCATAATTGAAAATCAGAATGATCATGCGTCTGTTTCGTTTTCGATGCGCCACCCCGTATATAAAATCTTCTAACAGTAGAATTCAAAACATCACGTAACAGTTCTGGTGTAACAACAGCTATTAACCTCTTCCAAAGGTAAATTATCATCTGCAGGAAAGTCTTCTTTCACTGAAAAGTAATATGGATGGCCCACAATTCCTACATTGGTGAAATGTCTTTTAAGTCAAACAACAGGTCGTAAATGATAAAACATTTATTACTGAATAACATTTATCACATATATAGTTATACTTCCAATAACAAACCTTATACGTCATTCTAGGAAACCAAAAGTATAAAATGTACATATGGAAGACGAAAAAATTTATATAAAACTAATACCATGTAACATATTAATGTATCAAGCGCGTAACACTTTCCAAAATTTGCTCTGTAACATCTACAAATAAATTTTAAGCGTGATTGTTCCGATATTACTAAGAAATCGGACAGAATCTGTAGAACATTGTTGCTTATTGCAAATTAAAAGTCCGACATACGGTAGGTGCTTTTATGTCACCAACTCATACAGGGTGTTACAGAATGTTATACGGAAAGTTAGAAGTCATACGGCACATAAATATATAAAACAATTCATTTGGGCAGCGGTCCCGAAATTTCGTTTAGGCAAAAATGAGTTTCGTTTCATGGACACATTCTGTATCACCCTGTATACAAAAATAATACTTATAGAAAAATAAAACGTATTCATCTACGTTGCTGCAGTGGTCATCAAATTGACAAGCAAGATCTATGTTCACTTGATAGAATAGGTATATACAGGCTGCTCATTTGAAAACCTCCCACCACGGATTTATCAAAAATCACTGATTAAAAGAAAAAACGGCGAGATTCGTCAAGGGGGACAACTTTTTAACTAAAAACTGCTCCACCTCCATTCGCCCTTGGCCCCCCAGGGTCATTTAATTTTAAATGACAAGCGGTATCGGTTTAAAAGGTTTTGCGAAGTCCTTTATTTGATTTTTCAAAATTAGTCAATTCGTTTTCGAAAAAATTAGAAAAATCTTGATTTATCTTAATTTGTTCAGATATAAAACAAATACACATGAAAAGATCACTTTTTATTTCAATAAGTGTTCAAAATGTTGCCCGTTAGGCAATTGGGAAGATTAGACATGGCAATAACAACCCGAATTTCTTTCCGCATTCTTTTCATCAACCCAGATATCCTGGACGAACTGTATTTATTGTTATGCCTGTTTAGTTGTTTGTTACTAAGGGAAAGAAAGTATTACTTTGCTGTCAGTAACCTTTGTGACAATCATGGGATAGTGAAAAATAGTTTATTGATTCATATTTTGCTTCCAAAATGGTTAACACACTAGCCGAAAGAGTGGAAATGATTCTAAATTTATAGTGATCAAAGTCAATGTGATCGGCAAACTTGTATGTTTTGGACGTTGTTACTAAATTTATTCAAACTGGATCTGTTGCAAATAAAAAACGTGATTATCGGATGAAGCTGCTCAAGTTCAAGTTTTGGGTCATTTTGAAATAAGTCCCAATGCTCGTATGTACTTCAATACGCAAAATTTTTGCTGCGACTGGTATTTCGTTCGGCTCTGTACACACATTTACTAAACTCCACAAATTTCATCCATTCAAAATGAAAATATTGCAAGATTTTTCTAATTTTTTTCTTTTCAAATGAACACCCTGTATATGATACTCCACCGCTCACGATTTACTTAAATTTGCATTGCAAAAAATTCTCGTGTAGATGCAACAAACTTCAGATATTATTTTTTTGAGAAATGGAAAATATTTTGATCTAAAAATACATAATACTGCTTTCTAAGGACACCATAATCGTATTTAAAGCTATGAACTACTCTCTAACACTTTATATAAAATATAGTTTCATGAGCATTTCTTTCAAAAATGTAAACGGCGCATATTGTATGATTCTGAATGGTACACAGGCTTCTTGATACCATGTTATGACCAATAAGATGTTTGTACATACCGGTGTGAGATGGATGCCATTTTCGGCAAGGACGGATCAACACACCATGATCAGAGAAAGTATTGCGATTATGACACAATTCTTGCTTATTTCGATTAGTATGAAATTTTTCAGGGAAATAAGCGAAAAGGTCAACCTGCTCGAACCAGCAAACGAAACGTCGTTTCTCTTCGCTTCAATGGGCGTGTCCCTTAACTCGAGACGCTGATGAGTAAAAATAATGAAGATACGTATAAAGTCCGTGAAGCACGAGGACTGTTTTTATGGAATACAGGTGGTCATAACAGGTGGTCACATGATTGCCCGTTTTTTTTACGAATACCCACACAAAACTCATTAAAGCTCATTTTGTTAACATCGATTTAACCTGGACACTCTAGCAGCCTTTGTTTGAGCACATTTAAATGAACTTGAGCTACAAACATTGATGAGTCACGAGATAATATTACATTGTACATACTTTGGAAATTTTAAAACGCGTGCACCTGGCACAGGGAGCAGAATATTATTACCTCTTCCTCATGCAAGGTGTACATACTATCCTTCCCATGATCGCCATCAAATTTGTTATAATAAGATGCATTTTTTATTTGTCAAATTTGTAATAGTAGGAAGAAAGCAACTTGCCCAGTCCTCAGTTAAGTATAATAACGGATGATTGATTTAGAGGAACTACTTTAAAATAAGAAAATATGAAAGCAACGAACTATGATAGCAAAGAAGCATTGAGTTCGATGGCGGTCGCAGGAAGGGAACATTACTTACACTGAATGGTAATTACAATGAGTGATGATAGAAACTTTGATGATTTTGGAAGATCCAGAAAATTAAGCAGGTTATATCACACTTGTACTACAAGGTTAAGTTAAAAAATTAAACTGAATATCAGTTACTTTTCAAACTATTTAAAATAAAAGAACAACTATTCGATGTAACTTAGCAACAAAAGCATCACAAATACTCTTAAGCTCCCAGTTATATTATGTATACGTATATGTGTATCAATGGAATGTTGCGATCATATTTGAAAATTTAATTCTTCCACTGTAGAAAAATCGAACATTCTATTTTGTAGCATAGCCTTCCTAAAATATACACCAATTTTTGTGAGAATTTTTTATTCGCCGACAAAGAATGAGAAAACGCGTTTTTGGGATTCAGTCTTAAGTATTGACAGAAACCAAAAAGCTCTTGAAATGAGATTTTTCGGTATTTACGAGCTCTACAAAACGGAACCGTTTTTTGTTCTTCGCAACAAAAGGTGATAGACACGCTCGCTTTGTTTTAAAATGTGTATAATAACTTATGTTTTTCGAATATTGTGGCGCATGTGTTCAATTACTCACAAATGAATTGAATTTGTTTAAAGGAAAAAAAAACGCGACCCTTTGTTTTTCGCATATAAATATCATTTATCTTTCGGAATGGTTTGTGATTTATATTGGTAAGAAAAACTCGTGTATTCCCAACTAGCAAAGTAGTGGTATAAGCTTTTGGTAAAACAACCGTTCAGCCATAAAAGCTCTTTATTGTTGTTGCCTGAACACCAAAATGCTGGCTTAATGTTGTGTGGCATGCAAATTTGCTTTCTGCAACATATTTGCTCTAAAGTGAGGTGTTTAAAATATTCTTATAGCATAGTTATACAACACCTTATAGGGCAGATTTTTAACTGTTGCATAAACGTTTATACAACTATTTTATACGGCATATTTGCACGTTAGTCAAAATGGTTCTGTTGTGGGATCCATGGTAACGTTTATAAAACAAACCCGAGCCTTGTTGTTTTGCTGTGCAATTCACTACTTTAGTCAACAAATTGCTCCCAACGGAAGCACTTATACAACTGTTGTTTAGTAACTGTTAAAGGCTGTGTGTACATATGCTAAATATGTTGATATACAACTTCACCATAACCTAACTTTCTGCTGTCATATTTTTGTTGAAATGCCATAACCAATGTTTTAAGACAAACAACGCATGCATATTGGTTCAAAATGTTTTATCAACTGTTCAAACAGAAGATATAGATCTGGTACAAATTGTGGGTAAATCATTCGACTCTGTCGGTATTTCATTTCAGACATTTGTCAAATTGTTGTATAACTCCTGCAGGCAACACCAAAATATTCTAATAACCTAAAGACAACACGGACGATGCCATGATTATACACAACCACCCGCCATATTGGACAAACATTTATTCCTCTATTTAATATTAAATAATTATGTTTCAGTTCGAAATTACAGATATAAAGTGATAAACATTAGTGTAATTGTGTCCAAATATAGGATTTAACGCAGTTGTCCATCTTAAAAATCTAGACATACTTTTGATCATTATCAAAATATGAATCAAATACGAAGCCCGTAGAAATTGCGTAACTAATTTTCACGATAATCACATAAAATTTGCTGCGCAAGTAATTCAATAGCCCTATATCACAATGTAGAAGTTTATCATATACCTGTGTATGAAATTCACAATGGCCGATATGTAAGTGAACAAGATGACTGTAATGTGTTAGTCATATATTCTTCTTCGTCTATACAATACATAAGAAATAGTTTGGTTGCAATAAAGCAGAATCACGTAACAGAATAGTTGTATAGTTGACAAAAACTGAATCTTGCACTGACGCAAATGTCCTATAGCGGCTGCAAGAGGCTTACACTTTTGTTGTATCTCTATTACCTGCAGCCCTTGTACAACCTCTTAAATGACTGAAATGTCCTATAAGGTGTGCCCATTCCGCTTGTATAGCAGTTCTAAGAGGGTTTTGCCAATGTTCTTACAGTATACAATGCTGTTTAAGGAATACTGTATAATCATTCCTGCAACTCTAATAGGAGTGATAATTGTTAGTTGGGTTTTGCTATAAAATGCCTTTTGAACCTGTATAAACTAGTAGTGATGGCCGTGAAAAAGATGTTCTGGGAAAAACAATTAGACATTCTCAAAAAACTACTTGACCAATCCACTCCAATTTTGTTGTGGTTATTTAGAAGTATGGAGCCTACGTTGTTGAATAACTTCAAGTAACCTGCATTTTCCTAGATTTATTTTCGGTTATTACTTTTCTTGTTATTAGTCAGATCTTTTTAGGTGTGATCTCATTTTGTAGGTCTCGTAAATACCTTGTTCATTGAGTTTTTTCGTTCCTGCCAAAACTTTCAATCAAATCCCAAAAAACGAGTTTTCTCATTTTTTGTTGTCGAATAACAAGTTTTCTCACAAAAACAACGTAATACAGATGTTGCGATACATACAGGTGAAATAGTGTCTCACCTATACTTGATAAACATGTATCTTTGTTATACTCTCTATGTCATTTTCTAATCACTAACCTACTTTGTACTATCTAGCTTAATAGGATACAAAAACTACGCCTGTTATGCCACTGTTTTTGGAAGATTAAATTTTCGAATATCGTCAGTATCTAAATGATTCCTAATCTACGTTTACAGGCAGGATATCTTTTTATTATAAAATTTACAAATGCCCCAATTTGGTCATATCATGGCGACATATAGGAAATCCTTTGCAGAACCAATCATTGTTAGCGGCGTTCATTTTGATTTTATACAAATTTTGTTTTGACGCATATTTTTTTCAACCACTGCTTTGGTTCAAATTTTAGTGTTAGATAAAGGTACCAAAGTTCCCAAGGTCCGTTAGCTGATACTAGTTGCAACGGATTCATTAGGTACATTTTTCAAAACAAAAAATAATCAATTTATCGTGTTATCTTTATTATCAAAGAAAAAAATATTCTCGATATTCGGTTTTTTAAAATTGTTTCTTAAAAATGTCGTCTGTTACTGTGGTCAATCCAAATTATTTGATGATTCGTTCAAGTTTCTAGTGGTATTTGGTGACCCTTATGGCACCATCATAACAAACATTGCTGAGAGTCATTGTGACGTTGAGCCTCAACAGGATAGCACCTACTTGTACGAGGGCGGTTCAATAATTACCCGTGTTTTCCAAAAAAAAAAAATTTATTTTTCAACATAATCCCCTTTTACAAGTACGCTTTTCCCCACGTTCCTGCCAATTTTTGAACCAATATCTAACGGTGGTCATAGATGGCGAAGTGCCCCCATAAACAGCAACCAACTTTGCTTTTATCTCCTCGCATTTTCCCCATCCAAAAACAAACTGCGAATTACCGAACGATACTGCTCTTTTTCCATCTTAGAGAAAATCACGAAACACGTGTTACTCGAATGGTTGCCAAATCCAAACTAATCTATCAATCAGTCTGAAATTTGTTGTGCCGTCGTTTTATAGATGGCAGCACATGATGGTAACAATAACTTCTGTCAGGAACGCCCTCTGTCGTCAAACACGGGTACTTATTGAACCGCCCTCGTAGTACAACCCTGGAACCATGGCTTTACTGCGACAAGCAGGTAGTTTTTCGTTTCCGAACCGGCAATTGGCAGTCTGAATTGTGATTCTAAATCGATAGACATTTTATTTTGGGGCGTAGAGATTGAGGAACTGGAAATCAACATTACGTCATCGAAAATTAGAATTTCCAACTATACCACCGCAGTGACCATTAATGTTTCAAAGAAATATTATGCAAAAATGGGAATGATTCTTTTGTTTAATAATGAAGATAACCCAACACAGTTGACTGTTTTTTATTTTTTAGGATTTTGAAAAGAATACCTCGAAATGAATCAAAAGTACTTGATTAAAGGTATTGGTATTCAAATTGATCCATTCTAACTTCGTAAACAACTGAAGTATTAAATAACACATGAGAAATATGTTTGTCCATATGTATTAGCTTTGAAATATGTACATTTCCGAATATTAAATAATGATGCGAATTTTTCATAGAACCGCCATTTATTGCTGAAAAAAGTATCCTCGATGAGCAAACAGGCATTTGACAGCCAAAAAAATCAAACGTATATATTTCTTGGCACCTTGCCTTTTGAACTGACAAGCAGTGTTAAAGTAGCTACTGGTTTTTGAAAGATACCGATATACAGGGTGCGCCATCTTTTATGTCGGTATTGAAATATCGAATCACCTTGATATTTACCAACCGAGTGATTTACTACAATTTTAGTCATGAATCGCTTTACACCGAAACAACGCGCCGAAATAGTCACAATGTACATTGAAAATCGTCGTTCACTTGTGTTAACGCAACGTGCATATTGTCGAAAATATCGTGGCAAACATGCACCGTCTGACAACACTATCCGTCGTTTGGTTTCGAATTTTCTTGAGTACGGGACAGTGGGAGATTGTCAACATACCTTTCATCAACGACCAAGACATTCCAATAAACTGCTGAAGCGGTCAGAGACAGCGTTGCCCAGAACCCAAAAGTGTCGTATCGTCACCGCGCTCAGCATTTTGACATCAGTGGAACCACGTTGCGGCGCATTTTGAAGGATGATTTGCATTTTTTTCTTTATAAGGTGCAGTTAGCACAAAAAATATTGCCAACTGACCATCCACGTCGCTTGGAATACGCCCAAACAGTCGCTTGCAGTCTTGATGCTGAACCAGATTTTTTGAAGCAAATTGTGATGACCGACGACGCCCATTTCACGCCCTCTGGCGGCGTTAATAAGCGAAACTGCCGCATTTGAGGGACGTAAAATCCACATGAGATCCACGAAATGCCGTTGCATGACCGAAAAGTGACTGTTGGGGCCAGCGTTTGCGCCAAAGCCATCATAGGGCAATTTGGGCAAAAACGAAACTGTCGATGGAAATCGATATCGGTGGATGTTGGCTCATTATGTCTGCCCACAAATGCGTGATAAAGGTCTTGATGGTTACTGGTTTCAACAAGAGGGTGCGCCATGCCACACTGCAAATAAAACAATCCAGTTTCTGCAACGAAAATTCCCTGGACGTCTGGTGTCAAAAAGAGGTGACATTGACTGGCCATCCAGGTCTCCAGATTTGACCCCACCGGACTTCTTCTTGTGGGGTTATTTGAAAAGTCAGGTGTACGCCAGCAAGCCCCAGAACTCTGAAGAACGCAAGGCAAACATTCGTTCCGCAAACGCCGCTATACCACCAGCGATGCTCGAAAAAGTAATGGAAAACGCAGCAAAACGGGCACATTCTGTTTTGGCCGATAAAGGTGGCCACTTGATAGATGTTGTGTTCAAAAATCAGTCCCAAAAAGTTGTATGACCATATTTAATAAAAATACCCGATATATGTATAGTAATCAGTTTTTCGTTTTCAAAGTTATTTCATGTTTACATACCGACATAAAAGATGGCGCACCCGGTATGAAAGCTTTTACCGGATTTGACAGTACCGGTTATCTGTAAAATAGACAAAATTATTAAAATAACTGATTCCCAAAACGTGCAGCAGACAAGATAAACTTAGGAGCATCTTTACGCGATCAATGCTTTCAAAACGGACCCCATTTACTTGGAAATTCAAATATGGTGACTGGAGTGACTTTACAGTGAAACGCTTGTAACTCAAAAACAAATAAAGAAGATTAGCAGCGACTTAGGCAGTTTAAAAATCTGATTATAAAAGTTTCTTTGGGATCCTCATAACAGCCGCGGTGCCCTGGCATTTAGGCTTCTGCCTACGCGAAGTTGCTATAGTGTATTTATCAATCTTCCTCTTTTGAAAGAGTCTGTTTGAATGCTCAACAAAATTTGGGACATTCTGTTTGAAAAAAAGAATTTTGACAATTTTATACAGGGTGGCCAATATACAGGGTTATCCAAATTAAGTGTCCACCATTGGTAACTTTGTTATTAGTAAAAATACAAAGTCGTTTAAATTAGCAAACTAGTAGCATTTTTAACGCTGGTAAAAATGAGAAATAAAAAAAACAATTGAGAGTCGTTATTTTGATTTTTTTCAGTAAAATAACATTTTTTTAAATGGAAACCCCTGTATATTATATTTTTTTCTGTTAAAGCATCAAATTTTAAACAAAAAAGTTCATAATGACTTTTCCGCTAAAGTCAAAAATAAAGTCAAAATAACGATAAATATTTTTAATTATTTGCAGTATTATAATATTAAGACGGCTATGAAAACAACATGGCGTTCGCGATTTGACAGCATTAAGATAAGCGACAAATTGTTAAACTGGACATACTCGCAACTAGAAGGCTTTGGAAAACAATGATAAAATCAAATAATGTCAAACATTAGTGTAAATACTTGTTTATAAGCTTTATTGTGTCATTAATTTAAAGAAAAATGTTCTCCCATGAAGAAAAGTGTGATATGTTAGAATGCTATTTAGTGTGCAGAAAATCCTCCTTGAGAGCAAGAGAATACTACAGTGAATTATATCCCGCTCGCATTCAACCGTATGAACGATATTTTCTGAGACTTTATCGAAAATTTAGGGGCAACGAAAATGTTTTTGCTAAAACAAGGGCAAAAAAAGAATTCATAATAAGCGAGGCCACGGAAATTGCAGTTATTGGATATTTTGAAGCTTATCGTGAGAATTCAATAGCAGATATTCTCAAGGACTCTAATTTCAGTTATGGTACTGTTCAAAGGATTTTAAAAAAATACAAATTTATTCCGTATAAGTACCGACCAGTTTAAACGCTTTTGGCAGGGGATCCAGAGAGAAGACTTGTTTTTTGCCATTGGTATCTTAGCTTCTGTCGCCAAAATGTAAATAACTTTCGTTACCTTTTATGGACAGATGAATCAAATTTTTCAAATTCTGGAATGTTTAATAGAAAAAACCACCATTATTGGTCAAGAGAAAATCTTTTGTTAGTACATCCAAGAGGCCCACAAGTCCGTTTCAGTTTCAACGTTTGGTGCGGTAAAATTGGTTCAAAAATTGTTGGCCCGTTCTTTTATGAGGGAACCCTAACTGGTGAAAGATATGTGGAATTTATGTCAGAAATTTTGACTAATTTCTTAGACGAATTGGATCTTATAAGTAGACATCATCTGCATTTTCAGCAAGATGGCGCACCTGCCCACAACTCCAGAGGTACTATACTTATCATTTTCTAAGTACTACTTTTAATGATCAGTGGATAGGAACAAATGGCCCAATACAGTGGCCTCCCAGATCACCAGATCTAAACCCACTTGATTACTTCTTGTGGGGTTACTTAAAGAACCAAATTTACAAGCGAAGGTACGATAACCTTGACGCGTTAAAGACTGCAGTTAGGGAAAAGACAACCCAGATAGATGGTAGGACCATACTTAAGACAGTTCGAGCAGTTGAAAAACGTGCCCAAAAATGTATTGAAGAACAAGGTGGTGTTTTCGAGCATCTTCTTTAAAAAAATTGTTATTGTATTTTGTAAGATTATAAGTTGATGTTGAAAATAAAGTTTGTCGATACAATTTAATTGTTTCAGATTGGAGGCCATAACTTCAACAATTTGTAACCTAGGAGAAAAGTTATTGTAAGCTTTTTTGTTTAAAATTTGATGCTTTAACAGAAAAAAATATAATATACAGGGGTTTCCATTTAAAAAAATGTTATTTTACTGAAAAAAATCAAAATAACGACTCTCAATTGTTTTTTTTTATTTCTCATTTTTACCAGCGTTAAAAATGCTACTAGTTTGCTAATTCAAATCACTTTGTATTTTCACTAATAACAAAGTTACTAATGGTGGACACTTAATTTGGATAACCCTGTATAACTGACTGATTCAAATTGCGCGCCATTTTTTAAACTCGCATTTCAATAGGTAGCAGTTGTTTCAAGCACCTGTGTCCAATTTATCATGGAGCGCTACACAATCTCACAAAGCGCCCGTATTGTTAAAACGTTTTACTTAAATAAAGAGTCGATTGTTGCAACGCAAAGTTTCGGCCTAAATAATGTGCAGAGTGTCAACAACATTCGACGGTGCAGAAATTTGATCAAACAGATGAAGTTAAAGACTTGCCAAGGTCGAGCCGTGTTCGAACTGTTCGTACTCCTGAAAATGTGGCGGAGCGCCCTGAGACGTCTACCAGACATCGTTCTCAACAACTGGGTAATCGTCGCACGTCATTATGCACTTTTTTAAAAAAGACTTGCATTTGGTGTCATTGGACCTTACTTCTTTGAAGACGCTTTGGCGAGCGCTACCGTGATATATTGCAAAACTTTATGGACCCTCAAATCCAACAATTTAACCTGCAAAACATGTTGCAACTTGTCACACAGCTAGGGAAACAGTGAATCTTTTACGAACAATATTTCCGGGACGTTTAATTTCTCGATTTGGTGGCCAAAAAGGTCACCAGATTTAACGGCTCCTGACTTTTTTTATGGAAATTTTCGAAAAATAGGGTTTATGTCAGCAAACCAAATTCTGTGTAGCAGCTGGAGAACAATATTACGGAAGCGATTGAAAATATTTCCCCCGAAACCTACCGAAAAGTGATGGCAAACATAATCAAGAGGGCTCAGATTTGCGCGGCTTCCAGAGGCGGAGATTTGTCTGATATTATTTTTCATGCATAATTTCTAACTTTCAATAAAAGTTACATATCGGCCATATTCAGATGGATCCTTCCAAGAGAAGCGTCTTGATGATTACTCAGTTGCTGGATCACGGACGATCAATTTTGAGATCCTGTCATTTTGGAAAACAGTAGATTCATACTCTGGGGTTATAAAGTACTGATAAAGAACCTCAATACTCGTATATCCCAACAATGTATTCAAAAATTGTTCCAAATCTTCAACAGTGTTTTTACGTCAAAATATCCATGCATCACTACGAAGTTTACTTTTTTAACTTGACGCGTTTAAAGAATAAGTGAAGGTTTTTGAAAAGCAACGTATACAGAAAAATTCAAATATCACGAGGTAATGTGTCCGCCGATGGCAACTTGGAAAGTCGCTGCTGCGTCACTCGGATTGCCAGGCAACGAGGTGATCCTATCTCTTTCTAATACATATTGCATGCTCTCTCTTGTACACATTACTACGTCAGTGGTATCCGGATTTCTCTGTATTCCACCATTTAGGAGTACTTGTAATTATGGTGGATGTGCACACTACAAAAATTGGTGAATGCGCTAACAATACAGTGGACCCCGATAATTCGGCCCCCGTCTAATCCGGCGCCCCCTGTAATCCGACATGTCTTTGAATATGTATTACATACATACGTATTTGACAATCTTCGCTTATGTAGATCACGCAGGTTTGAACAGGTTACAACTTGTACGCGCCACCGCTATCGTGCTCGACGCGTAAGCACTGTTTTACTTAGATTGAATTTGACTACTGGTGATAGCGGTACGGCCTAGCGTGCGTTCATTGTTTACTATTTATACATTGTGTATTAAGTATAGTACCTAGTAATGTCATCACACACTCAGAAGCTAAAGCACAAAACATTGACAATTAAAGAAAAATTTGATAGTTTAGACCGCTTAAATCGCAGTGAAACTTTCAGTAGTTTAGCAAGTGAATATGACGTAGGCCGATCTACAATTTATGACATTAAAAGAAACCACGAGAAGATCAAGAAGGTCGTGTCAACTACTGACTGCGGGCCAGGCAAGAGACAGACACTCAAGAAAGCTGAACATCCAGAAGTGGAAGAAGCTTTGTACATGTGGTTTCTTCAGGAAAAAAATAGGCATGCCCCAATTTCAGGACCCACGTTGGCCATGAAAGCTAAGTCTTTTTATAAGGAAATTAAGATTTTTGCAAAAGGTGAACGATTTAAATCTTGACCCATCTCAACTGTACAATGCAGACGAATCAGGGCTTTTTTGGAGTGTGATGCCTAACAAAACTTTCGTTTCTTGTAACGAAAAATACGTACCTGGACGAAAAGTAAGTAAAGAGCGTGTAACCATACTACCATGTGCTAACGCTGCGGGCACACACGCGCTTAAGATGATGGTCATTGGGAAATCTAATAAACCACGGGCATTCAAAAACATTGATTTACCTGTATACTATTACGGACAAAAAAGTGCATGCATGACAAGAGACCTTTTCAAGAAGTGGTTTGATGAATGCTTCGTACCTGGTTAAAAAATCATAATTTTTATCAAAAAGCGTTGTTGCTTCTTGATAACGCTCCCGATCATCCGTCTGAAGAAGAACTAACAACTGAGGATAAATGCATCACTGCGATGTTTCTTCCACCAAATTGCACTGCATTGATTCAACCAATGGACCAGAATATTATTCAGTTTGTCAAGCAAGACTATAAGAAAAACCTACTTCTGAGAGCCGTATCAAAAGACCAACCAATAGAAAAAACTTTAAAACAATTTAGTATGAAAGACTTGGATTTTGCTCTTTGTCGATCGTGGAATGCGTTACCGTCATCAACTATTAAATCGTCTTGGAAAAAGTTATGGCCAAATATAGTCACCACTCCTAGCAACGTTCCACAAATCAGTGTTACTTCGGAAGTTATAGAACAAGTCGCTACTGAAACACAGGTAAGTCCGGAAGATTTGTAAATCTGGTGCCGTGGAATGGATAAAGAGGAAAATGTTTTTCATGAAATGTTTGACGAAGAGATTATAAAAGAGGTTCCTAATTATACAACAAACAATCAGGAAGATAACGACGACGTGATTGCAACTGCTCCACAAGTCCCAGCACAAGACGCAATTAACGCCTTAGAGCCAGGTTTACAATGGGCTGAAGAGAATGGTACATCCTACAACGAACTTTTACTTTTGAGAAGACAAAGCTCTGATCTCGCATTATAACCACCTTAAACAAAAAACAATCGATGAATATTTCCAAGCTTCATAATTTGATAAATTCAGCAACGATTTTGATTAATAATTCTTGATTACTTTGGTATATATTATGTATGTCCATTTATGCTTAATTTTATAATAAAACGTAAGCTCTCTATTGTTATTTAATTTACTAAATTCGACATACATAAACTATGTATGATTTGTACTTCAAAGTACATATATATACATAACATACATGTATATAATCTTACCATTGGATATGTAATTTGTCGGATTTTGTAAAAAATTCCGGACTATAGGGGGTCTTAGGCAGTGCTCTATAATCCGACAAATTCTATAGTCCGACACTGCCCTGCATAATGTTTGTCGGATTACCGGAGGTCCACTGTATTCCACCATTTAGGAGTACTTGTAATTATGGTGGATGTGTACACTACAAAAATCGGTGAATGCGCTAACAATATTCGAAATTAAAGTGGAGATACCTTTTGAACATAATTGTACCTAAACAATTGAAAACAGATGTGGATAAAGGTGTCATGTAACATTTATTTATTGCTTTTTTGCATTAAACTAACCTTCATTCTGTGATTACTTTGTAGCGAACACAAGATAATAACAAACTAACTTAAATATTTTTTTAAAATGTCAATAAAGTAAGAAATCCCAATAAAAAATGATTTTGTTACACGACACCTTTATCTACTTGTGTCTTCAATTCATATTAGCCCTCCACTAGCCGTCCGCTAAGCTGGGCGTCACCCATCCGAACTTGTCATGCGTTTTTACCAGGGATCTGAAGCTTTCCTCGGCTGTACGTCTGTTAAACACCTTTTGTCCTTTGTTTTTCCTTTGTATCCGCCCCTGGCCTTTCACCACGCTAGCTGCGAATTGCATTATCACGGCTTCTACGGTGTAGGCGCTGGCCCAGCCTCTGAAAAGATGAAAGGGCGACATCACTCGGGGGTTAATTAAGTTCTCTCTCAGAATAGCTCATATCCGTTATACTTGTTTTGTTGCGCGATAAATGGATTTCGTTTTGTAGATACCGCAACTAATTTTAGTCTAATCATGTTAGACGGAATAACTCCCCTATATTGTAATTGTAAAGTCTGGTTTTATTGCTGCAAGTTGTTCAAGGGGGTATTCAAAACATGGACGCATAAAATGGGTACACCAAATTTTTTTGGGAAAACTTTTTATAAAGGATGAGAAAACGTTTTTTTTTTTGGATTCAATCAAAAGTGTTGGCTGGACCGAAACAACTCTTCATATAAGATTTTTAGGTGTGAATGCGACCTACAAAATGAGACCACACGTAAAAAGATCCAAATAATAGCAAAAAAGTTATGGCCGAAAACCAAGGCAAACTACAGGTTTTGGCACTTGTTGACAATGCGACGGTGTTTTCTCTCAAATATTTGAAATTCTTGAAATTCGTAGGATTCGTACTTCTAAATAGCCACAACAAACTCCTGTTTTCCGGCCATCACGACTAGTTTATTGAGCAATAATACAGGGTCAGTTCAAATGGCATTTTATGACAAAATACACTAGCTTACCTTGCCTATATGAATCGCAAATCATTCCGGAAGATAAATGTTATTTTTATGCAAAAAAGGATGTGTTTTTTTCTTCTAAACAAATTCAAACATTTCGTATTTGTGAGTAATTCGCAAGAAAAGATGATAGACACGTCCGCTTTGTTTTAAACTCTGTATAGAACGTATACTAAGTGACATATAAATCCGAACACCCAGTTTATATGGTTTTATTTTAATAAAAGTTGGTGAATGTATTTATCTTACTGTAAATAACAAGTGGAAAAATGTTCAGCCATATCAGTTGGACATTCCGGTTTTTATACTGCTTTTTTTTAATTCACTAACGCTCTAAAAATGAATATTTCAGCCGCAGTAAAGAATCAACGTTGGCGGATTTTGGTTCTTGAGATCCTTTACTATCGGTTACGATGCCTAGAGTACGGATACCTGTACGATTTCGTCAACTTAGTGAGTTTGATAGGGGCCGTATAGTGGGACTTCGAGAAGCTGGACTTTCTTTTCGGACAATTGCAGTTAGAGTGCAAAGAAGTGTAGACACTGTGGTTAGGTGTTGTCAGGCATGGCTTCGAGAAGGCCGTACGCAAAGAGCAAGGGGCACTGGACGCCGCCGTAGAACAACAGACCGTGAAGATCGCCGCCTAAGATTATTCGCCTTAAGGGACCGTTTCTCCACTACCAGGTCCATTGCAAATGAATGGTTTGCAGAACACGGAAGACCTATTGGCATGCGAAGTGTTTACCGACGAATGAGGAGTTTTGGCTTGTTTTCATACCGGCCACGCTGGGTCCTCCCTTTAACTCGAGAACACCGACGTAATCGCCTTGAGTGGTGCAGACAACGGTCACTCTGGGATCAGGAATGGAACAGTATTGTCTTTAGTGACGAGTCTCGATTTTGTTTAGGCATGCACGATGGTCGTGCCAGTGTTAGAAGGCGACGTGGTGAAAGGAGGAATCCACAGTTTTTTGTTGAAAGACATGTTCATCACACCGTTGGAGTTATGGTTTGGGGTGCTATAGCTTATGGTTCCAGGTCACCTTTAATCTTCATCAGAGGTAACATGAACGCGCAGCGTTATATCCAGGAAGTTCTAGAACCCCATCTTTTACCCTATCTTGACACCCTGGCAGATCCAACTTTCCAACAAGATAATGCCCGACCACATGTTGCAAGAGTCACAATAGACTTCTTTCAACATAATGATGTCACATTGTTACCATGGCCACCAAGATCTCCCGACTTATCCCCAATTGAGCACGTGTGGGATATGATGGGTAGGAGATTGCTCAATTTGCAACGTCCTCCTCAGACTCTAGAAGCACTTCGAGAGGAGTTGGTGGTTGCCTGGAATGAGATACCACAGGAAGACATTGACCACCTGATCAGAAGCATGCCTAGGCGCGTTGCAGGGTGCATCCACACATTATTAAAGGTCAAAGGGCTTTAAAGCAGTGCAATCATTTTGAAATGTTTATCATTTACTTATTATGCTTCATTAAGTACTTATACAAAATTTTATTAAAATAAAACCATTTAAACTGGGTGTTCGGATTTATATGTCACTTAGTATATGTTTTTCGAATATCGTAGCGCATTTGTTCAATTACTCACAAATACGAAATATTAAAATTTGTTTAGTAGAAAAAAATGTAACCATTGTTTTTCGCATAAAATAACTTTTATCTTTCGTAATGGTTTGTGATTCATATCGACAAGGTAAGCACGTGTATTTTGCTATTAAATGCTGTTTGAACGAACTCTGAATACAGGGTGGCGCATCGAAAACGAAGCAGACGCATTTACTGGCAGCTCAGTTTTTTTTTTTGGAACAAAGCTCAGACCCGTCGATTTTGTTTTCGAGGGGGACACAAGTTTGGCAAAAAACCACGTTAACACGCCTCATGGGCGGGGGTGACACCAACCCTAAAATCTTAAATGGAAAGGCAAGTGATACCTTATTTTAAAGGTCTTTCAATTTCCTTTAAAATGATGTAAAATACATGAGCTTCAGCTCAGTATTTTTGAAGATTTATTGACTTAAAGCTTAAAGTGGACTTTAATAGGTACATCAGATTAGTTTGTACTACTTTCAGAAGAAATTTGACTAAAAGAATTTACTTAATAAGTGTTGCAAAAAAGTTGTGCTACACCATGATGAAAATGTTTTCTTTACTGAATGTTTGACATTGACAGTTCGGTAATTGATTTAAAGGTGCGTTCACAGTGAAAGTTTAAATTTATCAAGTCCCTATTGGAAAACCCGATAGTGTGAGAGTATAATACCACAAAACTAAGCTCAATATTCGTATCATATCGAGGGAGGCTAAGAATAAAATGTCAATCTCTTATTAGTATATAAATTACAAAACAAAAAATAATGCTACAATTTCCTATAATAACCTTAAAATTTGCATATAGATATTGCATAAAATTTTGAGGATATTTAGGATTTGGCACCCTTGGGAGAATTCAAAAAATGTTGTCCTTTCGATGATCGTCCCTCCCCCACTTACTTACAAGCAAGCCAACTTCTATAAAATAGGTAGGTATATAAACTTGTCTGCTTTCATCTTTCGTTTATTTTTGGTCTTATAGCATCTTTAAATGTATTAAACATAATCTTCCGGTTACTGCAAAAACCAGATAACTCCAAAAACGAAATCTTTAGTATTTGGGAATTTCATGATAGACGATAAATCAGGGGTCGAAAAATGGAGGTTACAGGTTCGTGGAAAGCAGGGACGTAGAAACTGGGGTACCTGGACCCCTAATGGGAAATATAATTTGCGCCACTGGCCTTTTCGGGAAAAAGAAGTGCATTTCATAAAATATTCAATATGCAATAAATTTTGTCATTTAAGGAATTTTTGTCAGATTACTAGTTTTGGAGATATTTAGGTTTGAGCAATCCTAAAATAATCGTCTGAAAAGGTTTAGCCTCCCCTATTCTGGAAACACGGTGAGGCTTGAGATTTGCAACGCTATACGGCATGTGAAGAATTTATCCAATAATATGGGTGTCTTATCCTCAATCAGCAGCATAGAAGCTCATTATTAACCCTGCATCTCGGTAGGGGAGAATCTTTGGACCCACATTTATACAGTCTTCCTTAATGATATGCGAATATTTAAGGGTGTGAATCTACATAAAAAATTAATGTTAGTTTGCTTTATAAACTATGGTCCAAAAATGTTTCCTTACAAAAACTCGGGGTGTTGAAGTTTTAGGAAAAAAATGGAAATTAATTAATATTTTCAGAACCGCTTCAGATATTTCACTGATATTTAGTACGTAGTGAAAGTTAATAAAGTTGCATATTTTTCAATGCAAAATAATTTTTAGCTTTAACAGTGGCGTGCGTACGGGTATTGACGTCGATATTTTTTAAGAAAAAAATAGTACGACAATGGTTTTTCGCCAAATAAAAAATATTTTTGAATTCCCCGTTCAATTTAAAACAAATGATCTGTCTTGGAATGTTTTCCTTCGATGCGCCATTTTTGAGTAAAAAAATAAATATTGCACGTCTTTCTGAATCGATTGGATTTCCTATCCCTATATTTCATACCTGGGTGTGAGTAGTTCCATACAGATAGCTCCACCTTCCATGACGAAACCTTTTTCTATCCTAGGCGATATAACTCGCATGAAAGGTGGCGCGAAAGGGAAATTTTCTGGGAAAACAAGATGAAGTAGGATGTGGGATATTCCTAGGTCTCGCATATCACCACCTAGGTCGCTATCACTGTCAACTTTGAGCAGTTTCACGTGCCATTCGAAGAGGTTGTCGTCGACTAGTTCTACCGTGAATACGGGATCTGGCTTGGAATTTTGTAACCTGAAAACAAACGTAGTAGATACAATAATAATAATAATAGACGTCTTTATTTATCCACAATTACATTGTAGTATAGCCAAATGTCAGACTAATATGGCGAAGTTTAGCATGCTTCTACTCTTACACTTAACCATATAGTCTCTAGCAGATGTTGAAAAGAAGACACTATCCACAAACAGATTTGGTTCATTACATCGAAAGTAAAATTTGAAAAAAGAGAAAAAGGCATACTTTCCCAACGCAAATGCACCAAAAAATTCTTAATCTGAATTAGAGATGGAATAAAAAAGAAATGAATGATTACGTAAATTATATGTTTGGAGGGTTGAGTAATAATGTTTTAACTTTTTGTCGAAAGACAGGTAATGAAAATTCTTTATATACTTTAGGAAGGTCATTATAAATAATAGCAACATTGTAAGAAAAACTGCGTTTAAAAAGTGTAGACGTATGCAGGGGTATTCTAATATTATATTTTCTCTGAGAGTTCTACAGTGAACATCATTATTAAATGAAATTTTTTCGTTCAAGTAATAAGGTTTAGACGTGAGCAGCAATTTGTGAACAAAAACTGAATAGTGATACTTGACCATGTCATTAATTTTTAACCAGTTTAGAATGGGATACTTCGCTGATACATAATCAAATTTACGTAAGCTAAAAATGAATCGTATGCAATTGTTTTGAATAACTTGAATAACGTTTTTAGTGAAATTGTCTAAACAAGTATAATATACGATATTACAATAATTTAGTATAGATATGACCAATGCTTCACATAGTATTTTACGCATCAAATAAAACGATAGTAGGACTATGCTAACTTTACGAAAAATTAAGATACCAACAATAGCTTTTAAACGGTAAACCAGAAAGGACAGAAATAAAACTATGTCACATGCAAGTTACTTATAATTCTTCTATGAGACAATTCCAAACAATAAATATCAGCCATCTTTCAAAAGCTATTACAAGATTGATGTCTAATAGAAATCCTAGTGAGCATCTTTAAAAAATGGTTATGAAGGGATGTCTCAACATTATTGGAGAGAAGCTATTATTATTAGTGAATCACTGTTTAGTGTATGGCGAATTTCCTTCAAAATTAAAATGTTCTACAATTACTCCTGTTCCAAAAGTGCAAAATTCTGAGTTATATACAAACATGCGGCCAATTAATGTACTGCCAGAAGTTCTTAGAAGGAATCATATAAGAACAAGTCGTTGAATATATTGAAGAAAATAAGATATTGACAAAATTTCAAGCAGGATTCAGAAAAAAGTATTCTACTGAAACAGCAACTCAAATGGTAGTAGAAGAATGGAGGCGATATATGGATGAAAAAAAGTGTACAGTAACATTGTTCTTGGATTTCAAGAGAGCATTTGAGACTATTGACAGAGATAAATTGTTAACGAAATTGCATTACTATGGATTTCAAGGTTAAGTATTCAAGTTATTACAAAATTATTCAATCAATAGAAGTCAAAGAACTAAAATTGGCAATACATTATCAAACATTGAAAACATTTGAGTAGGTGTGCCACAGGCTAGCAAATTCCTGATGTTTTACAATACTGCAAAATTCAACTATTTGCTGATGATACATTAATATTATATATATATAGGGTGGCGCATCGAAAACGATTAAATATTTAATGAGCGACATTCTGCTGTTCTATTAGCGCACTGATTATTTCCGAAAAATATTTCGATAATTTCAACTCTTTCTGCTGTGGAATATACCATGGTTAATTTATGTAATAAAGCGTTACAAGTTATTTTAGCAACAAAGTATGGTCAAATCAATCGCAAACTATGTACTAAATTCCTATTTAGAATAAGTACGAGTTATTTCCTTATCTTTCTTCAAGAAATAACTTTTTTGCTACAAAAAACGCTCCAATAGCTATTTTCAACAACAAAATGATAAACAAACCATGGGCGTAGTGGAGAAAAGCACTCACTTATTAAGTAAATTCTTTTAATCAAATTTCTTCTGAAAGTAGTACAAAATAATCTGATGTCCCTATTAAAGTCTACTTTAAGCTTTAAATCAATAAATCTTCAAAACTACTGAACTGAAGCTCATGTATTTTACATCATTATAAAGGGAATTGAAAGACCTTTAAAATAAGGTATCACTCGACCCCCCTTTCCATTTAGAATTTTAGGGTTGGTGTCACCCCCGCCCAGGGGGCTGCACGTGTTAACGTGATTTTTTGACAAACTTGTGTCCCCCTCGAAAACAAAATCGACGGGTCTGAGCGTGTTTCCAACAAAAAACTGAGCTGCCAGTAAATGCGTCTGTTTCGTTTTCGATGCGTCACCCAGTAGATCAAATAAAGACATTGAAACTGCAATAGAGCTGTTAAATAATGATATGAAAAACGTAATAAATTGCTTAAATGTGAATAAAATTAAACACAAACAGAACAAAATATATGCTAATAGGAAAATCTTTAGATCAACATACAATTAATCATGAAAAAATTGTGTCAATCGAATCATTTAAATATTTGGGCATATACGTAGACAGTAAATTAAAATTTGAAGGGCACTATGAATATATTATTTCAAAAATATCCAAGAAAATAAATTACATTTATAGAATATCGCATAGCCTAAGCATTTATTCTAAAAAAATTCTGTACAACACTATCGTTCTTCCTCATTTGTTATACTGTTCGACTATTTTATTCACTGTAAATGAACCTGTATTTTCAAAATCACTTAGAAAATTTTATTGTATTGAACAATTAGTGCCACAATTATTCTACTAGAGGAAGTATAGACTTTCATTTACAAAACTTCAGTAGCAATATAACGAGCAAGTCAGTATTTCAAAAGGGATTGTACGAATTTAATAAATTAAGTAGTAATGATATCAAGATGTGCGTCAGTTTGAAAATGTTCAAAGGGAAATTGAAAAAATATCTCATGAAAACCAGAATTCATAGTAGTGGAATTTTGTATAAAAATATGTAGTCTTGAAGACATAATATATTTTGTGATATACTGTGTAATATGGATATTGTGCACATTGTAGCATTAATGCTAAATAAATCTAAAACAACAAAGTAAAATATGGTCATTTTTTTCTGCCCGTTTACTGTACCTACATACTTATAGCGGACATAGCCGTTTCGTCTCCCTACATGCACAGTCTGCATTCAGCGTTTTTTTTTCCATGCCCAGTCTACTCATCCGGTGACGTAATTTGCGATGACCAATGTACACTCCCACTCAACCTCAAAACGAGACTTCCAGTTGCTTGCAACATCAAAGCATCGAGTCAAAGTCGGGCAGCCGTTGAGATGCTTGTGATGGCAACAACACCTAAATGATCAGAAATGGGATATTAAGATATTAAACTTACCGTTGCAGATCCCTTAGCTCTTTCATTAACCTCCTAGCTCTAACAGTCTTATTTTGTGCTTCGTCCCGTTTGCCTTTAAAAGCGGGACTTGCTGCGCCTGCTGGTCCTGGAGCAGCTGGAGCTACAGCATCCCTGCAGCCTCTCAGCAGCCTGTGAAATATTCGGTATGTGAGAGTACTGCGTGTTAGGTCGCAGTGTTGCTATATTGGGCGATTTTCCTTAAAATTTGCAGATTTTTATTTTCATAGGGGGATATAATGTTCTAGTGTATTTTTTGGGGGAAAAATGAAATTGTTGGGTATCTCCGAGGTATCGAACTTTTATTACTAATAGCTTAATTTAAAAAGAACTGTTGAAAAATACTTTGTATGGACAAAAGAAACGATTGAGGTTTTGCCGATTTTCTAATTTCTTTGATTTGTTAAATATTATTTTGATTATAAAATGCTACAAGAAAACATCTAAGATGCTATTTTAAGGCCAAATTTTTGTTGTTCTGTGATTGACATTACCGTAAGACGCGTACAGAGGTACGACAATCTGTGCACTATGTCCAAAAAGAAAATATGTATTTATGGTTACATTTAAGCGCTACTGCGCTTAGCAGGTATCTATTCATCCTAGAATTTCCCCGCTGGGTCGCGGGTGCATTTAAGGTTATGTCAGGCTGTGGAGTTTTAACTGATTTTCATTATAGAGGATGTTTCAGTTTATTGTTGCATAACTTTAACATTCGATAGAACTTTTAAAATTAATGCATAAAGTCTATATAAACATGAGTCGAAAAATGCGTGGCTTCCGAAATACAGGGTGTTTAAATTTACTTTCTAAAATAGTTTTTTTAAATATTTCGAACAATATTTCATGTATAACAGTGAAAATTGGTATACAAGGGTTTTTTCGTACGAGAAAACGAACCATGCACATAGTTTTACTATAGCCGCTAGAGGGTGCTCTCTGCTGTACCTGTAGTGTATTAAAATGACCGAAAATTTTTTCTTAGTGCAATTATTTGCTTTTTGTATAAAAAAACTGATTATTCGCACTTTTCAACATAAAAAAGCTCTCCTGTGAGTTTTCGTTATAGTTAGCCGTTTTTGAGATATTTCGATTTTTAAGGTTCGATGCATTTTTAATTATCTATGGGAAAATAATATTTTTTTTTACATTTTCGATTTGGGCATTACAAGTACAGTGAAAGCTCCCATAAGCGGACACTCACGGTTCCGTAACTTTTGTCCGCTTATGGGAGGTGTCCGTTTAAAAGAGAGTATGTAAGTATAGAGTATAAATAACGGGGTATATAATCATGAGGAAATGAGGTATTATAATCATGAGAAAAATGAAACAGAAACTCGCCACATTTTTAAAGTATGTATTTATGCTATATATCTATATATGTACATATACGCATACAAAAACATAAATGCTTCAATACATGGTACGAGAATTTAAAAAAAAAACATTACTCTTTAGCTTGTTGAAAAAAGTTTAAAATGTTTGTCTGACGAAATTTCACCATCTTTTGCTGAAGGAGACAATTTTCGTAATAACTTTCTAAATTTTTCAAATGTTGAAATGCAGTGAAATCATCTTTAGCAAATTTTTTCAATATAGAAATATGATTTAGAGCTTCCCCATATGAATTTATCGTTTTTGAACCGCTTAGTGAGTCCACCAGTTCCACTTCTTCTTCTGAGTCGTTTGGACTACCATATTCAAGTTGGCCTGGGCTTTCTACATCCAAATTCGAAAAGTTGCCAATGGCATTTTCTTCTGTTGTTATGTTATTGTCTATGGCCAGGAAATCATACTTTCTGGGGATCTGCTACTCCTAAATGTTTGGCATGTCGCAGTAACTGATCAAGTGTCGCTAAGGGCAGATCGTCTTCAGCATCGCAATAATTTTGCTCAGCAAATTCTGAGCTACATTCACTTTTTCTGAATCCAGGTTTGCCAAAACAGTTTTTAATTGTAGAGGAATTTACTTTATTCCATGCTGTTTTTATAAAATACAAAGCTTCTAACACATTGATAGACTTTGTAAGCTCAGATAAGCTTTGACCATCGTCAATTTTTGTTAAACTATGTTTTAAAATCAAGTGCCGATAATAAAATTTAAAGTTCTGTATGACACCTTGATCCATGGGCTGACAAACAGAAGTTGTGTTTGGCGGTAAAAATATAATTTTCACATTTTTCATTTTCATATCACGAGGATGAGAGCATGCATTGTCTAAAAATAAAAGAACTTGCCTTTTTTGGATTCTCATTTTCCGGTCGAATTCGACTAACCACTCAGACATGATTTCTCGGGTCATCCATGCCTTTTTGTTGGATTTCCAAGTCGCTGGTAGATCCTTAATAGCAACGTTTTTTAAAGCACGGGGACGAGCCGCTTTCCCGATCACAATCAAATCGCATTTTTCACCGGCCATATTTGCACAGAATACAATGGTTAGTCTATCTTTAGACAACTTTCCACCCACACATGTTTCTCCTTTAAAGGACAGTGTTTTGTCGGGCAATGCGCGAAAAAAAAGTCCACTCTCATCTGCGTTGTACACATCTTCTGGTTTGTAGCCAAGCAACATGGACGGAAGTTTCTCCAAAAATTGTGACACATCAACTTGATCTACTGCAGCAGCTTCGCCAGATATGCATTTGAAACTCACACTATGTCTCTTGCGCCACTTTTGCAGCCACCCGTCGGACGCACTGAAATTATTATAGCCCAAAGTAGTGGCGATTTCTTTAGCTTTTATTTTCACTAACGGCCCTGAGATTGGAATGTTCTGACTTCTAGCTTTCACAAACCACTCAAAACATGTTTTGTCTATAGCAAAACCTTCCTTTTTAAAAAAATTCTTCTTTTGATTTATATTAGTTCCTGATTGCCATTTACTCCTGATATCTTACTTATTTTTGGCAATTTCAGCTGCTTGCGTTTTCCCAATATTAAACCTCTTTGCCAAATGACGAACTGAAACACTTTCTCTGTCTAATACGTTAACAACTTCCATCTTTTCCTTTAACGAGAGCATCCTTTTTTTTGGTGCCATTTTACAGTTACAATGATAAAATACGTAACTCAATCAACTACGAATTTGCCTGAACTGAAGACAAGCCACAAGATTACATACAGGCTACCCAACGAAATGCGTAAATGGGGAATCACCTAATATAAATCGGGGAATTACCGAATTTTATGTATGTACGTAGATATGTGCATTGCAATAAGCGGAACTAAAAAATCGTCCGGGTATTAGAGTTTCGCGTCCGCTTATGGGAGATTTTTTGATCACATACAGGAAAATCTAGTGTCCGCGTCCGTTTATAAGAGCGTCCGTTTATCGGAATGCATTTAACATTGAAAATTGATGGCTGAAATTCGGTTCCAGGAACTTTGTCCGGTTAAAAGAGATGTCCGCTTATAGGAGCTGTCCGCAAGGAGAGCTTTCACTGTAATTAAGATAATCGTTTATATTGTGTTTTTAAACACATCAATAATTCCTAACTCCAAATAAACACAAAAAAACAGAATTTTAATTTGTTTAATTTTCCAATATTATTTTTAACAAATTAAATTAATTATCTACAACTAACATGCTATTGGATAGTTAGGACAAACATACAAAATCTAAAGTAGTTGCTCGAAATGTAAACCCAATTGTTCAATACACAATTCACATCTACGAATGATCGAACGTGGTATAGCATTATTCAAATAAGGCCTTATTTCATCACATGCATTCCTGATTCTGTCTATTAGCATATCTCTTGTGGTTACGGGAGTCTGGTACACTTTTTCTTTTAGAAATCCCCACACAAAGAAATCTAATGGATTTAGGTCAGGGGATCGTGGAGGCCAGGCGACTGGTCCTCCACGGCCGATCCATCTTTCTGGATAATTTTCGTTCAGCCAGTTTCTAACTATTCTCGAATAATGAGCTGGTCAACCATCAAGCTGGAACCAGGCCAATCTTCTTAAATCTAACATAACATGATCCCACATATTTGCATGTTTAGCCTTTAAAAATTCCAAGAAGGTCGCAGCATTTAACCTTGCAGGCAAAAGGTAGGGTCCAAATAGTCGATTACGGTAGATACCAATCCACACGTTCACACTAAATTCATGCTGAAAATTTCTTTCCGGAACTGCATGCGGATTTTCATGCGACCAAATATGTTAATTACGAAAATTTACCACTCCACGTCTAGTGAAGCATGACTCATCGGTCCATAAAACGTTACTTAAAAACTCCCTATTATTATCAGTTCTATCAAGAATCCACTGACAAAATGTGATTCTTCGTTCTCCGTCCCCCGGCTGTAGTCCTTGCAAATAGTAAGGACGTCTATGGTCATTTCTAAGAACACGGTGAACATGGCTTGCTGAAATTCCCAATGCACCAGAAACTCTCCTAACACTTGGGGTCGGATCTCTATCAAACTCACGCAGAATCATACGGGTAAATCTGCGCTGACGAACATTTATGTTTTGATCCCTTTGGAGATTTCCAAAACCATTTTCAATTATTTGGCGATGCACTCTTACAAATACTGAGCGAGTTGGATGTCGTGTGTTTGGAAATCTTCGTGCGTATTCTCTGGCTGCTTCTTCTGCGTTTCCATTTACAAAGCAATACACAAAATGAATATCCGCTAACTCTTGATTGGAGAATAAAAATGTCATTTTTATAAAACTTACAATAAAAAACAGGTAAAAGAAACTAAATTTCGTGCATTCACAATTGCAAAAAAACGTTTCAGGTTTCAACAGACAACAAAACTAACTGTCAACTGATAGACAATAACCTTATTCTGCTTTCAATTTCAAAAATATTTGCAGGCACAGCCTACTTCTAAAAATTATCGAAATACTGACTTTTTAACGTTATTTTATCATAAATAATTAAAAATGCATCGAACCTTAAAAATTGAAATATCTCAAAAACGGCTAACTATAACGAAAATTCACAAGACAGCTTTTTTATGTTGAAAAGTGCGAAGAATCAGTTTTTTTATTCAAAAAGCAAAAAATTGCACTAAGTCATTATAATACACTACAGGTAGAATAGAGAGCGCCCTCTAGCGGCTACAGTAAAACTATGCCCATGGTTCGTTTTGTCGTACCAAAAAACCCTTGTACACCAATTTTCACTGTTATACATCAAATATTGTTCGAAATATTTAAAAAAAACTATTTTAGAAAGTAAATTTAAACACCCTGTATTTCGGAAGCCACGCATTTTTCGACCCATGTTTATATAGACTTTATGCATTAATTTTAAAAGTTCTATCGAATCTTAAAGTTATGCAACAATAAACTGAAACATCCTGTATACATCAATAATACTTTATTTCATTGAAAACATTTGTATTTACCACATAATAAGTCCTTAGCGTTTATTTTACATTTCAGCTTTAAAATGATGTCTACTAGGTAACTGACTGCTTTCATCAAATCATGAACATAACTATTAAAAAATCCAAATTTACGAGTTTCGTAATGATCCGAACGTCAATCGTTTTTTTACACCATAAAGGATGTTTCAATACTTTTTTTTAATTTATCTCGAGGCCCCTGACTACGAATTCAAATACAGGAACGCATAGTCCAAAAGGACAGGTCCAGAAGATTTTTGTTATATTTACAAACCTGTGACGTGCAGGTGAACCCGCCCCACCGTTAGCTCCGGCTTTGCTTGGGCCTTCTCCTTCTCTAGTTGCAGACCGAAAAAGACGTCGAAAAATACCGCTAACCTTTTCTTTGTTTCTACTCATGGTGAGCCGGTGCAGGGAGCTTGGGGGTTTGAGGGTTGATCACAGAAAGTCGAAAGCCATATCTGAAACAGCAAACAACAATATTAGGTAATTATTTCTCTAGGTTATACAATTGACTCACAAGTACCCTAAAGACATTGTTATATGGAATGTTGTGATACAAATATTTGAAACCGTGCCACAGATCATGACAACGTCAATACAGCGTATGATGCTGTCAATTCAAAATATTTGACATGCCTTGTCAGCGCTGCCCCGTCATGTGGGACGTTTGTTAATGGAGCTCCAAATTGCCACAGTATGCAGAAATTTTGCATATCAGTATACTACATATTATTGAAAAACTCTTTCAAAGATCCTTGCGTATCTTCAAAGTGAAACGTTTCAATTTGAACATTCCACAGTTTGCTCCTTCAGAAAAGCTGAATATTCTTTCTTTGCTTTGCAATAGCGTAGCCTTCCTGTACTTTTCTTGTGTTTATACGATCGCGGCCGGAAAAATATGAATGCTTTTCCGGGTAAACATTCAGAACAGGAAAACAAGGAAGTGGAGAGGAAAGATGGTAAATCACAGTTTTTCACCTAAGCTCTCAGGGGAGCATTTCAACAACAGAAGTGTGAAAAAGAGGGATAGGATTTGTTTCGCGTTTTATTTTTTCATAAACGGTACTCAAATGGATGTTGCTAGAGGAATATAATACCCGTGGGTGTTGTATTCGTATAGGGGTAGCATTGATTAAATAGATAGTGTTTTAGTTTTGCATGTATATTTCTCTCTCGGTCTTCTACAGGATGGGACATGAGGACACAACACTCCACAAGCGCAGTGTAAACACAGACATAATTTGTGGTTAAAACGCAAAAAAAAACGAGAACAATCGTAATTTATAACTTTGAACATAACCTCTCTTCATAAAGGACAGATAATAAATAAACTTAATCGGCAGCATTGTACGTAATAATTTTCTGCCATACAAGTATCACTGATTTTACACAGAATCACCATACAATCATTCAGATGTGATCTTACTACTCAACCGATTTTCTTTCTGCCACATTCTCAAAGATATACGCTACAGACTATCTCGATATTCTGCAACCAACAAAGCATACTGGGGAACTGACAACTGACTTGCAGCATGGTCCTTGAGTCATTCGTCCATAGATGACGCTTTTAGCGAGCAATCGCGGAATGAACTACATATTTGCACACTAGGAACTATCTAGACAGCAAGTCGACATATTGTTCTTTTTTTTCATTATATAGGTTGTTTTACGTAATAACGTAATTCATTTTTTAATTAAAGAAGTTAAAAACAGAACTCCACTTTCTGTTTTGAATCCCCTGTCACTCCCAACTGTCAAGCTTTAGAAGGAGGCGTCCTCAGAATAATACAAAAATCACAGCAGCTGACCGTAAAAACTTAGAATCTTGATGTGATAGCCCTTAGTCAGCAAGTTGATTTTTTTTTTGGCATTATACAGGTTTTTTACGTAATAACTCTACCGGTTCAGAACTGGTTCATCGATAAGCTGTTCATAGCTGGATTTTGTGGCTGCCATTTTATGCCTTTTCTAACTTTTCTATCTTCTCATATATCAAATCTAAATCTTAATCGCTAACTGTCCATTCATTATACGTGTTTAGAACATGGGTGGAGATGAAAATTACTTTAGAACTAATTTAAGCTAATTGTAGGAGTTCCAAGAGACGAAAATAAAAATTACATAGTCAAGTGTTGATTGTCTTGATTACCTTGTTCCAGTCATATTAATAGTAATATTGATTCCTTTCATTTCAAATCAATTAATAAGTTAGTGTAGTTAGCATTTCACTTAACTTACTCATCTTCTACTGTAGCAGAGCCAACTTCCTATAAAGACAACCTGATGAGTTGTTCCAGCTTTAAAAAAAGCTTACTCATGAACTGTTGAATCTGCAATCTAGTTTTTCCAATTTTTTTAAGATTTACAGTGGGTACGTAAAAAAATAGATTATCTCAAATTACACTAGTTTTAAATTTCATTACAATTATAGTTATGTTTACGACGACAAGCCATCTAATTCTCTATTCCAACTTACGAAGCTAGCTTCATTAGGCTTGTACTGCTCTTTGCAAATTATATAAGAAGTAGTACGTCTTAAAATCGTTTAACGCCACAATTATCTGCAAACACTCGCTTTATTTTAAAATAACACTAAAAAATTTAATGGCAGAACCGCCAAAAGATTGACTTATGTCAAGTGCACATTGATCCTCACTATAGACTATGAGATTAGGGAGACAAGAAAACCCTTGACTGTCACCTCCTGCCTAGTCTGAATCCCAACAGATAATTCGGAACTAGTCCTAAACCGTACTTATTCTCAGATATGCGCAGAAAATGATTCGGAATTAGTTCTGAACTAATTTGGAACAAATTCTTGACTGGCACCTCCTGCCTAGTCTGAATAATTCGGAACTAGTCCTGAACTGTACTTATTCTCAGATATGCGTAGACAAATAATTCGGAATTAGTTCTGAACTAGTTCGGAACTGCTAGTGTTCCAACAGGAACAAACCTTATGTTGACGGAGAACCTGTGATGCATTGATACTGGGTGTTTCGTTGGGAGAGGGAAATATAGTTGATGTGTCTTAGGCCTTTCGTAACGAAGATACTTACAACCTTTAGCCGTTTCTTCATAGCGTCATAAACATAAAAAAAATTGAGCCGCAACGTGAGCCGCAGTATGTGGCAACATAGTGCCAGCGCGAATTGCGTTGCAGACATTTCGGCTTGCAACATGTGCCTAGTGCCTTCTACAGACAAAATGCTGCATTTAGGGCCAATTGTTGATTTTTTATTCATGTTTATATTACTTTCTTCAATTGATATGCGATACTGGGTGTTTTTTTCCGTTTTCCTCTTGCAGATAACCTTCAAGCACCTACGTGATGACAGGCTCTACCAAAAGATATTGCTCGTTTTCAAACATTCATTCATTTACTTGCCGTTCATCAGAACCATTATGGCACCTCGGATTGATATTCCCACAAAACTATTCAGGTTTTTTGATATCCATACATCCATACAGTTGAATGAATATTTTTCGTTGTTCAGGAACTGAACAAACATCCACACTATATTCACAGCGATTAAGAAATTCCCAAATATATGCCTTAAAGCTACCAGCAAACCTAAAAAACTACAAATTTGCCATATTTTTTTTCACGAGTACGCATTCTAGGTTATATTTATATTAGACATTATTTGAGTACAGCTGATTATTCCATTTCAAGGAGTGACACATGTATGGGATCTATCAACTCTTGGTACCAGTCACAAAACATATACTCTGTAGGTTTAATTCCATGCTATTCAATGACAACACGGTGACTTGTGTGGTTGTCAGCGGCCATTTTGTGAGGGTGCGACAGGGTTGCCAGATTGTGCATTAATATCCCGTTTCACCCTCCTGGTCCCAGTGGAGTAAGTTCCGCCAACTGTTGAAATATACTCTAATATACTTTATAAGACTATTCGTGACATCTTTCCCAAAAAAATGCAAATGAAAATTTAAAATTATTTCCATGATGCCGCAACATAGCTCCGTCAGTACCTTGGGTTATACATCTTGACAGTACGGATGTTCGATACGATCCTATATTTAGCAGTATCAATACATTTCACGAGTATCGTCATCTTTCGATCCGGACTGTGTCAGAAAGAGTGTCTGCCATTTGGCTGCGACATTACCCTGCCAAGTCAGACATATCTTCCCACGGCTAGGCGACCTGTATGTTAAATTTGTATTGATAGGGCAGCGGGTTATGCTATAAATCGTATGTCACAGTGTTTGTGCACTGATTGCAACGGTTAGATGGCACCAAAAATATTTTCATAAATAGGAGATCTTTCCCATTCGGAATCGAACAATCTACCAAAGATGCTTATAATCATGATACCTAGTAAATTTTCACGAAAAAATTCAAAACCAGCAAATGGAAAGATTCATTTCGCACCCTCCACCACGGGACGTGATCGTCGTTAGACTTGGCAACCCTGCAAGTGACAGATAGATATCCCCGCCAGTCAAAAAGACAAACAATAAACATTACTAGTTTTTAGAGATTTTTGAACTTAAAAGACATTATTTGTGAAACGTTTTCCATAATTTTTTGTCTATGTCCATAGTAATTGCATTTTGCATCAGAGAGATGTAGGGATTGACACGTCTTACACATATTATCTGTGTTTTCGGATGGAGAGGACATAATGTTTTTATTGCTTTGGAGAAATTCATTAACCCATAAATTACTATTATGACGTAAAGGAAGATGAGGAATTGGATGGAATGTATTTTATATTCTATTTTCTTGCAAAATACAGACAAATCCACACTATTCAACAGGTATGTAATGATAACTTTCAGTATATTGAAGTTGGTAAATTCGAGAGTGCCAGGAATTAACAAACGTCAAAATCTGCTAGAAAATCGACCTATTATTTGCCGCATTCCCATTCGCTGAGGGGATAACGGATTGTTAAATGTAAACCTATAACATATATCAAAATACATGAAAGTTGTACTGTTTTTTCTGTACAAAAGCATCATGTTGGAATCAAAAAGTGGTCTTGTTTATAATACAGTCGAATTTTCACGATTTTATTCAATATTTCCATAGAAATCACTAATATTCAGAGACCTTTGACAGCTTCTGTCAAATTGCATTTCGATACGGTATTTTCCCATCGGTCCATAATATTAATGTTGGTGAAATTGGGCCTTACTGAAGCATATGTGGCAGGAACATGTTGCGCAACATTTATGTGAAGTTTGCAATAAGCTGTACATGTTCTCAGTCAGGTGCGTCACCATTCAGACAAGCTGCCGGTGTATCTTTGAAAAGCTTTTTACGATAATATATTTATACAGTAAAATTGAAAACAGTAATGAGGCCGTATCTACCGTTTCCCAAATATGAATTTACAATGCAACGAGCTCAATCAGTTTATGTAATCTGTAACGAATACTCGTATATACGAATGTTAACGAATCCAAAATCAGCATATGTTTACAATGTTTTTGAATAACAAACGCGTACCAGCCATTTGTCACAGCAGCAAGATCTGAATAAAGGCATAAAACTTATTGTTTGTGCCAGAGTATTTTTACGACAAATCTTTACAGA